GCAAGGAAAAACTGCCTTTTAACCCTTCAGCTCTAGGTGGGTGGTCATCTGCCTTGACCAGTTGGGGCTAATTAGGACAATCCCAACTCAAGCTAGCTTTTTCTAGCACTTTCAGCTGCATCACATGGTCTTCATGAGTGCGTGGAGTTTACACAGTTGTCATGGAGATGGATCTGTTGACAGCTCGATAGCTGTGAAGATTTCATCAACAACCAAGAGGTAAATATTCTCTAATCGTATTTATTCCATCTTCTCAGCAGGCCCCTGAATGCAGCATCTCTCCCCATACCCTCCCTATCCCTGCCCCCTTTCTCCCCCTCACCCTCCCTCCTCCCCACCCTCCAGCATTATTCTCTTCCCTCCCCTCCCTCCCTTTCCTGCCGGCCTCTCAGCAGAGGATGTGTCTGGGAGAGAGAGTGTGTGTGAGGGAGAAGAGGAAAGCCGTCAGTAGAATGGATATGTGCCCTCTCTTCTCCACCCTTTCTTCTCCTTCTCCTTTTCCTTCTTCTCTGTCTGTCTTCACCTTCCTCTGCCAGCGCTGTACCCTGGGCACCCTCAGTGCCAGCCCTCGGGGAAAAGGAGACTCGCCGGTTGGACAGGCGGCTGAAAACTGAACTTCAATGTCAGCGGGGGATCAGAAGAATGGTGGTGACAAACCAGAAGGTGAGGGACCACACACACACACACACACACACACACACTGTTGGCAACACTACTAAAAGGCCAACACCCACTTCTTCTAAAGTCTCTCAATAGCTAGAGACATAACAAAGCTGTGCATGGTTGTCTATGAGAGAAATGAATGAACTCTTCAATGTAAACCATTCCAGTATTAGGTTCAGAGTGGTGTCAGGTCCAAAGGTAAGTTCAGATAGCTGATATAACTGTTTTCTCACAGGGTCCATTTAGTAGTTGCTCTGGAGCTTTAAACTATACCCCATGATCAGCAGACCAGTTGTCATGGAATTGTAGATTTACATTTTCATATACACTTTAAGGACTTGCTGCTCAGACAAAAAATAAAAATGACAACGTCTACAGTTCCTTGGCAAGTGAGCAAACTATCTGCTGATGAACCCTGCAGTTTGGTTCTGAGGTTGAGAATGAACGTCAGCAATTTCAAATACTTTTACACCCTGTCAAAAATGAAGAAAGCTGTGCATTATTTATTCATTTATTTGAAAGAGAATAGCCACATTTAAAGGGGCAGTCTAGTATTTTAGCATTGCAGTTCCATAAAGTTGCAGAGACAGATTTTTAAACACACTGATTAAAAATTGTACAGAATATTATGCATAGGGCTATGTGTGTGATTCTCCAGCATGTACCATCATGACCAGAGAGTCTGCTGGTTTCCATACCAACCCGCCATTACAGCAGCATGCTCAGCACAGAGTAACTCCTGTATTGTCCTCTGTGCAGTTGTGTTTTTTGACCTGTGCTGTTGCAGCACCAGCTTACATGGTACTCATCACTTTCCTGAATGTGAGCTCTATGGTTTATTGTTTTGCAGAGTTGCTGATGATGACATTTCAGTGCTCAGATTTAGTCTTGCTAGGAGATAGTGTCCCATGACCTCCTCTGAGACAGAGACAGCCCTGTTTGTGTAACTGAGACATCCAAACATCTTCACACACACACACACACACACACACACATACACACAGTTGTGAATGACTATACTTACTGGGACCTCTCACTGACAAAACCTGAACTTTTAGAGCGATACATGCCTAACCTATGAATGTTATTTTAACACAATCAACTAAGCTTTCAACCCTAAAGTCACAGAAACAGTGCTCAGTGCTGGTGACCAAGCACAGCACATTACTCTCTGCTGAGTCACTAACCAGTACATTATTCAATTAAGCCCAATTAAGATGTGTAATTCAAATGGAAGCATTGTCATGTGACTCTGTGGGCTGCCTGTCTAGCTGACTAACATATGAGAAATGATATCCTGCTCACCTGACTGGTCGACTGACAGCAGAGCCTCACTTCTCTCTGCTATAAAAAGAACCTCTCCAATATGGTGCAGAGAAATGTTTGAGTCAGACTGTGCAGCATATCCCATTCCCTAAACATCAATAATGCTGCTGCTTAGCATGCTCAAAATTGTCTCTTTCTATGGGTGATATGGTTGGGGGCTTGGCAGTGAAGGGTGAATGTATGGGAGAACTGGGAGGACATTTGGAGACAATATTGTAACAAAATCAGGGTGTGCTTTTCTTAAGCATCATTAAATAATGCAATACACAATCCTTCTTGATGGAAAACTTCCCATCTGGGAACCAACTTTATCACAGCGCACTGGATTTTATTTCTCCAAACATTTATTGGAGACAGAGCTGCTGTGGTGACACACTGGTGAGTTAAACCTCATTTGGCAGATAATTCTAGGTTTTCTGTCACAGGGAAGGATGTCCCCCAGTTGAAAAAGTCAATTTCCTCTTCCTCTGGTTGTTCAGTCGGAGATGACATTTTAAATGTACTCATCCACTTGGGGCCAAGCCTGTCCAATTTTGATCAAACACGATACAGCTTTGCCCTCAGAAAACTGTGGTGAGCCAACCAGATCCCAGTAGGTATCCTGTCTCTTTAGTTGGGGCAACATTATGTAAGATTTGGTAATTGAGGGAGGGAAATGAATGTGAATGTTAATGGTTAACTCAGCTAACTTTCTGACCAACATAGCAAAATATGGCTGATATTGTATTTATTCAGGCCACGCCAAGCTTTATAATTTTCCCTCCTAGTAGTAGTTGTGGTAGTATCAAAAAAGACACAAAAATAAATGCCGTCTTTTATTTACATTAAGCACATTGTACATGTTAGGGCTTTAAAGGTCCAGTGTGTAACATTTAGGAGGATCTATTTTCAGAAGTGGAATATAATATTCATAGGTATGTTTTCATTAATGTATAATCATCTGGAAATATTGGTTTTGTTACCTTAGAATGAGCTGTAAAGAGTACTTTACAATTACATTTTAGCATTGCACCATGGGCAGTTTAAAAAAATGTATGCACAAGAAATATTGTCATTGTCCCTCCTTGTTAAAAGCTGGTGCCTACGTTACCCATAAAGCAATGCAACCACTGTCCGTTTGGTCAGAGATTGAGGTGTGTTATGCATGATAGTAGCGCCTAATGCAGCGGGGTACAGAGGTCTGCGAAGCAAAATTTTCAAACTTGTAGTATTCAGCTTTAACAAATGCTGACTCAAATGACATCACTTGAGTCAAATTTGTCAGACTTTGCGTAGCTCCTTCTAGAGCTACAAAAGGCTTTACACAGCTTTTGAAGGAGTACTGCCCAAGACCTATGAACAGACTTTGATTTTTACCGCCAGACACGCTGCCAGTGGCTGACGTGTGGCCAGAGGTGGAGAGGGCCGAGTGTTTAGCCCGTGGTGCTGCCCTGAAGTGGGCGTCAGGTGTTTTCTGTCGACCCGAGAATCTGGAACGCCTGAGCCAGTACAGGAAGCGAGAGAGCCAGAGGACCGCCTCCATACACAGCAGACTCAAGGTAACATCCTAGACACACATGCTTACACAATATGATACAGTATGATCTCAGTTTATTGAATGGTCTCCTAAATGGTGCACTTAAGAGGAAATTGTTGCTATTAGTCATCAATGGGAATCAATAGTAACAACTGTGCTTTCCTTCCAGTCCATGGTGCAGTCGTATCTGGAGGGGGTAGGCTGGGGTCTGGAGCAGCTGCGGGAGGCCAGGGCCGAGCTGAAGGAGGTGTCACACGCTTTAAAGAAATCAGGACTGGAGTCCAATCAAAACACAGAGGGAGTGAAGTCCCTGGAGAGGCTGAGAGAAGTGTCGGTCAACCACCGTCAGCTCCTCGCTGCTGTCAGCAACCTGCCACGACTTTACTCCGGTGAGATGGACACACAGGCCTCAAATCATTCATTCACAGTCAATTCCTTTAAAATTTACAAAAATTTGTTTTACATTTTGTATGTGTCGTACAAGGGGAGAAATCTATCTTGTAGGGAAAAGAAACTGTTTCAGTCCTTTTTTCCCACAACTTCCACAACTATTTCATGGTACAATACAGAATATTTTTGCTGGAAACTAATAACCTCTTGCTTACAGCCCCAAGTGGCTGCAAGAGGTTATTACATAAATTGTTGGCAGTTTGAGGAATTAAAGTCCCCCCTCCCTTGTCCCTTTCAGTGCGTAGCATGGTGTTGGAGACTGAGCGTCTGGTGGAGTCCCGGCGGCTCCTAGAGGCCCACGCCCGGCTGATGGATCTGGAGCACTGGCAGGACGACATCCTCTGGCAGCTCCACGGGGCAGCAGGAAGTTCACTCAGCGCAGAGGACCAGGAGCTGGTGGCCAAATATTTCTCTGGTGTCGGGCAGCTGGTGGACGCCCTCGGTAAGGAGTCTTATAGACATGGGGGTTGACAGCTCCACAGTTTATTTAGCAACGTCAGTTTAATTCAAGAGCAAGCATACCATATATGGCAACTCTTTTTGTGACTATTGTAGCTTAGTGCCCTATATTTCTGTATACGTAGATACCGATATAAAAATACCAATAATGTTGTTTTGTGTCATTTGCAAAGCAGATGATGTGCATGATGTGCATGATTGTACATAATAAGAATAAACTATGGCAAATCTTTTTTGCAACAGCAGGCTTTCTAAGGGATGAGAAATAAATGTGTTCACTCAGACTTGTAGAAATCCAACGTAGATGAGGAAAAACAGACCACAGAGAGGCTGTGATAGCAACACAAGCAGAGAGAGTGTGTCATTCTCTCTCAAGACACCATGACTCCATGACTATATTTTTATATGGCAAATAATTGTTTGCTGTTATATTAGTGTTTTACATCTCAGATATACAGTATATAACCTTTAAAAGTAAGATACTAAAAAAAGTATCTGGAACTGATTGTATTGGATTGGCACTGGTGCTAGAATATTCTACCTGGCCCCACTGAGGACAAAACAGAGGAATCATAATGATATTAAAGAGATATTATTTTTAAGTCACTGTGTTGCATTATACTAAATGATTATCACATATAACAGGTCATCGGTTTCTCAGCAGTGATATTTGTTTCTTCTTCTCAGTCACATCAAGTTTATGAGATCAAATTCGGACTCTTCTTCTGCTGCAATATGGACAACTATCACCAGTAAAAGTTAAAGCTGTAGTTCAAGTTATTTCTTTCTTTTTGGCCACCTGGGGGCAGCGGAACAAGTTCACAACACAACAGCACTCCTTAGTAACATTATTATACATGTCAATCTCAAAGTGTTTCTCCAACTCCTGAGGAAAATATCTCTGATATCTCTGTAGCTGCTGAATGCTCCACTATGTTCACCAGCTACAGCAGTGTGTTACTTTCTGTAACGGTCTCTTCACTTCAGGTAAGGAGCTTTGGGCGGTGGTGAGCAGTGCTCTGGCTCTGGCCAGACAAAACCCCACACCATTTGTATCAGCGGTGAGGATAGTGGAGCGAGAGGAGGCCCTGGACCGAGCTTTACTGGAGGAGAGAGGTGGGACCCGAGGCAACATTAGACCCCTGCCCCCGGGACGGCCTCGCTGCTGGAGAGCATGCTTCTTCCAGGTCAGAACAAACATAACACTTTTACACCTTTCACCAGGTTTCTTCTTTTACATTTCTAACTATGAAGTCCGTCCTGTCTCACACGTCCTTTCTGTCAGGTACTAGAGGAGGCGGTTTCTGCGCGGTTTCGCAGCGTTTCCTACCTGCACACGCGTGGGCCAGGTCTGGCAGGGCACCTCTCTGCTCTCCAGCACGGTATCATGGCCGACCTGGCCACCGTACGGCACTTGCTGGAGCACTGTGTCCCGCCACACTACCATCTGACAGGAGCCTACCTGAGGGCCAGCCACCACTGTTTACATGCTCACCTGGCACAGGTCAGTGATGTGAGAGAAATAAACCAATGCTGCACCATGTGCAGCTTTACCTTCTCACTATGTGGACTACAAGCATCTCTAACCAGTTACAGAGTTTATTACTTCATCATCATGTTCTGCTATGCACAATCCTGGTTTAGATTTAGTATAGTAAAAACGAGACTTTTTAATGGACTGTACTAATTATATTTCCAATTAGCAGTTATTTTTTCTATGGCAACCACCTACTGGAGTTTGTAGATGAATAATAATTCTAATCAGCTGGGACTATACACATGTAAGTGATACTTGTGGCCTAGGTTAGCAGCTGGGACCTGGAGAGTGGTGAAATCTTTGCTGTGCTCAACTGGGTGCTGCACATCTACAACAGGTGAGGTCCATGACTGGCACAACTTCTGTGTGTGGCTCTTTGTCCTTTAAATCAGTTTATGTAATGTCATTTAAAATACTTTTATTAATTTCCCTTCTGGTGACCGTCAGAAAAAAAAAAGAGAAAAAAGGCTCAATAAAAGCTATACATCTTTTATTCAATATTGTATATATGTATAAGTAATATAACAACCCATGTTAACATTAAACGCCGTTTAAACACAAATTATTTGCTTTGATTATATTATTAATAGACTAAAATGTGCCGTATGCTTCTTCCTTGCCTCACGGTTGGCCATACTTGCTGAAAAAGTTATTATTGGCTAAAGACACCCAATCAAATAGGTTTGATTGCATTCGAGTCTGGTTACAATAACCACACATCCTAGAAAAATTATGTCCATTGCACTAGGGACCTAAACGGGTTAGAGATCATGTAAGTTTGGATTTGAGGTAACTTGAGAAAGGGAGGATATTGAACACATTTGAGCAAATTAACTCCCAGTTTTTGCAAATGGACATCCTTTTGCAAGAGAACTGATCTAATAGTTCAACATGAACACTTTGGCTCAGTAGGAGAAGACTTACTGTACATTTCATGTCAAATGTAGTTGATTACCTTTAATGCACATGTTCTCTCCCATATTTCCTACCTCTTTCCTTTATTTACTATCTAATGAGGTAGAAACAAAAATAAATCCAAACAATGTGATCTATCACAGCTACCATCTAAATTTCAGTTTCCAAAGTTGTTCAGGGCTAGTTTTAGGTTTTAAGCACTAGTTTTGGACTATTATAGTCTAAGTCAGTGTTCCCAACCTGGGTGCTGGAATCCCAAAGGTGTTGCAAGATGATTAACAAGAAGAAGGAAAAAGATAAAACATGTCCGTGGCCTCTACCCCTCCAGGCTATTGTTTAGCTATAGAGTAGCTAGAGTCATCCACTCCCATCACCTTCACCACAAATAAAACGTTAATTATTGGAGCCTTACAATGATTTTTCTTTATTAAACATTCACAAAAAGGTAGAGCTTGTTTGGAATGCCAGTGTTGGATACTGTTAACGACCAAAAGCTCAGAGTCTGACAGTCTCCATTTGGCAGCCCAGACATGATGGGTGACCCAGAGCTGGTGGCTGAGCTGGAGAAACAAGAACTAGGACCTCTCATCTCCACAGAGGGACTGGATCAGCTGCAGAACAAATATGTGCAGAGTGTTCGGGTGAGTGAACCACAAGAGTCGTTTTTTAAAGATACAAATTGTGACTCATACCCTGGTGAAAAGAGGCATTTAAAAGAAAGAAACAGGGTCATTTTAATTAGAAAATAAGTGTATATTGAAAGAGGAACAGGATGGTACCGGTCTATGTGTATATGATGACTACGTTCAACGTGTGTGTTCATGTTGTCGCTGTTATAGAAGAGTGTATCAGAGTGGATGCACAAAGCTCTACAGGTGGAGCTGCAAGACTGGCAGAGAGACCAGGAGCCAGATACAGACCACGAAGGTTTCTACCAAACCAGCCTGCCCACCATCATCACACAGGTACACATGCTGTACAAATACACAGTAATACAGCAACACACACACAATACAAAGCTCACAGCAACGTACACTTTTAAACTGCCTTTAATGAACCTCATCAACCTCTTATAACAACCAGTATTAACACCAAGTACACATCTCGTCCTACATTTGTGTGATTCATCTCACAAATACACACATATGCAGCAGGACCATTGTACATTCTGTCCTGCTTCTGGAGCTGGACCAGCTCTTTACCCTTCTACAGAAACGCAGTATTCAATGTCTGGGCGTTGAGATTCAGAACATGACCTCCAGTGTGTGCTAGAGTGCTTTAGAGTTGTAGTTGGTGACTAAAAGAGTATACAAATGTCTACACTCCATTGAAACACTGTGTGTTTTGAGTGTATTTGTTTTGTTTGTTTGTGGGACTGTGGTAGATGCTGGAGGAGAATGCCCGGGTGGCTCTGATGATCGGAGAATCCCTACGAGATCAGACTATACAGATGGGACTGTATGAGATGGAGAACCTTCTGAACAGGTGTTTGTTCATACAAGTTGCGCTTGCGGCTGCCTGTCGGCCATTTTATTCCCAGTATGTATTGTGTAGTCCTCACTCTCACCCCAACTCTTTCATGTCACAGGTTTCGGGAAGCTCTGGTGGAATTTGGGAAGGAGCATCGCAGGGATCCGAGCAACAACAAAAACAAGTTCTACCTCCACTATCTGCTGGCCTCCATCAGCAACTGCATCATCCTCAAGTGAGATAACGGCAGAGTGGTGTTGAATGGCCACTGAAAGCTTCAAAGCTTTATTACACAGATGTTGGTAATAGGTTAATATAATGTTGGCGAGCATCACAAGCACTGTGGTAATGTTGTGGTAACTTGCTCCTTAAAAAGAGACAATTCATACTGTAAATAACATAGAGCCAGAAAATCATACTGTGCTTCTTTTAAATGAATGGGAGATTTCAGTGTATAGATTTTATTGCCAGTGGATATTAAGCTGTAGAGAGTCAGTATATAACAGTGTATCCCCTCTCTCATCAAGTACCTCCAACATAACAGCTTTAATGGCCTGCCTGATTGAGATGGTGCTGTCTATGTAGTGGTTCTCACATTACAATTTTTAGCTGAATAAAAGCCAATAAAAAACAAACACCAGCCTAAATAGGATCCACTGTGTTCCCTGTGTTTGATGCAGGAAGTCCACAGAGAGCCTGCAGCAGCAGCAGTCATCTCGGTCGGCGGGGCAGTTCTCTCGGACTCCTCCCAACCCTCTGGCAGCTCTGGACCGGGCAGTGAGACGGGCGTGTCGCCTGGTGATGGATAAGCTCCTGCTGGACCTTCAGCCTTTCCTCCCAGGCCTGCTGACCCGACCCTGGCTGGTCCAGGGAGACCCCACCCCTAAACTCTGCTGTGTCCTGGAGCGTCACCTGGAGCTGTACAGCCGCGTTCGGCCTCCCTGCCAACAGGTCACAGCTTTGCTCGGTTTCTGTCTGGAAGTTTAATTATTCTCATTTGTGTTGAATCTCTTTTCCATGCTTCTGAGCTTAGGTCATATCCACAGTCAAAATCTAATCACTCAAACCTTCTTGTTTTTGTGTGTACAGCGTCTGCAGGAGGAGGCCCAGTGGCTGATGGTGGTGGAGTATGTCCGGGCTCTGATGCAGAAGAGGCTGGTGTGTCGCAGTGCAGAGGAGAGGAAACAGCTGGCCCAGCAGATGATCCAGGATGACCAACAGTTTAGAGAAATCCTCCACGGCCTGGTGAGGAGGCCCTGACACACGACACCGTGCAGTATCATGGTGTTCTACAGTCACATCAATGCTAAAAAAATTATTTAATGGCAAAATGTTGACTACATTACACATTAGTATATACTAATAATGAATAACTTGATGCTACTATAGTATCAGAAGTCGTAGAAGTAGTAGTACTAACGTCCAGTATTCCAGTGTCCCATGATGGTGTGAAAGCTGTTTGAATGGCTTTTCCATGAATAAAATACTGGGCTTGAACAGTGAATAATAAGAGATTTAACATCTGTATTTGAATATCAGTCAAACTCATGTGTCTGCAGGAGGGGGAAGGGTCAGTACCAGAGGTGAATCCTTTGGCCTTACTACCTGTCCTGGCTGACTTCATCCGACTGAAAGACCCTGGCATGCTTACTCTGGAAGTCTCTGGACTCGCAACCAAATACCCCGACATCAGGTAACCTGACCACCTGCTAATAGTAGAGTAGTTGTTAAATTACCACATAGCATTAATATCAAGCTTGATGCTTATAGTGAAATATGTGTCGGCCATAGAAAGAAAACGCTAAACATAAATATTTTGGCTTTTTTATGACCAGTCCAGGGATTATACCTGGTACACTGGTATACCTGATACATGTCTTTCTGTGCTCTCAGTGAAGAGCATGTGTCTGTGCTGCTGGACATCCGCGGTGATGTCTCTAGGGACATCAGAGGGGCTGTTCTGGACTTGCTGGAGCAGAGCGCCCCCCCTCTGCCTGCAGGCTACCGACCCATCTTCACCGACATCCTGGTGCCGCCCTCCACCATGGCTTTCTGTCTGCCTACTGCAAAGTGCGCATGACAGGGACTGAAACTCAGATGTTCGCATTAAAAATCCAGATGGATCTGGTTCTCAGACCATCAAGCCTGTCGCTACAATAAATTATGCAAGAGCAATCAGAAAGATGCTGGTGAATCTGTTCCAGTTCTGTTGACGGATGGCCGGCCTGTGTTCAAGTCTGCCACTCGTTATTCATTCAGGGAGCAACAGCCTTGTTTGTTCCTCTGCACCATCCTGCTTCACACTCACAATGTTACTCACATCATTCATACTGGGAACTGCCCAGTGCCATTATCACTTTCTCCTGTTGTTGCTCCTTAACAGTATCAGTTGAGTGAGGGGAGAGTGGCATATTTTCATGTCCTTCACCTACAGTTTACCAGGGATTTGAGCTGGTGACTTGCTGGTCCAGGTCTAACTTCAGCTGAAACTTATTTGTCTGGTAGACCTCTGGATCTATAAGCCACTGTGGCTAAATTTGGTTACAATGGCACAACTTATCATTTGCCCTAGCCATTTATGCTGCAGATTTAACCAGAGTTGGACATTTAAACTGCAGTAAGCAGCTTTAAACAACTCAGCATGATGCTATTGTTAATAACTGATTTTCCTTGACAGTACTTTCTACAGAACAAGTGGGTCTAGAGAAATATTCATGGGGTGTTCAGTAGGTGGCATGGAAACTTTAAGTGGTGACAGAAATATATGCTGATTTAATCACAAACATTCACACATATAAATATTTGCTTGGAAAAGCCCCCAAAACAATATATATGCACTCACACATTACATTGTTGTGGCACAGTAGTATTGAATGTCTTCAGACATTTTTTTTTCAGATCTTTATTCATTGAACCAATCATGAAGCCTATCACTTAGTCAAAATGTGGCCATAACATATCATTATTGTTATTATTTTTTTAATTATTCTAAATAAATGACTTAAATTTGACAGCATACTGGGGTGGCAGTGTTTATATCACCATCAGCAGAATTCCTCTCACCTTCATCATATTTGGGTGGCAGCAAACATTTTAAAGGCAAATATTATAAAACCTCTGCACACGAAACTGTTTACATGGCTACATTGCTACTGAAAAGTTTGGGGATATTTTGTGACACTCATCATATAACACAATATTATCATATGGACATAATTAATCAGGAACTCGTGACACCTTTCTGAATCCTGACCAATAATTGTTAAACACTACCAGCCACAGACAAGCTTGTGAGATGTTCAATGTCTACTCTAATTTCATAAAGTGTTCAGCTGAGAATTTTGAATTGGCACGTCAATTTGTGCATACAAAGCCAGGCTTATGTCAGTGGTTAGAAAAAAAAACTAATTTCTGGTATGGTCAGTGAAAAGTCAAGCAATTGTCACAGCATGAAAAACAAATATTGGCAGTCCACAAAGCATCTCAATAGTTGCAGTATGTCACAGATATGTCAGTTACAAAAAACGGTATATGACTTTTACAATATAAGAATTGTTTTATTAAAGCATCACCTCATTACAGTCTGGACTGTAGACTAAACGTGGGTTTTCAGCGAGGCTCCTGGGCTGTGAACCTACATTAGGAACTTCGGCTGCTAATTCAATAATTTAAAGTCACCTTTTCATTAACTTCTCTTGATCATCATTTTGTCCAATTTTATCTTGCATTGTTGTTGATATTGGATGTTTTTAATCAGATTTTTTCAAATGTATTTATTGTATTTATGTATTATTTTTCAGCTATCTCCTTTTGAATAGTGTTTCCTGTTGCTATTTCCAAGGATATTTCCTTTGTTCTGGTTTAATGCCAACCTCTAAAGCACATTGTAAACTCTGTCACATAAATGCTTAAATAAATGTTTTATAAAATAAACTTACATTAAAAACAGTGGTATTTCATTTTAAATACTTTGGTGTGGCAATTGTTTCTAACCTTGCATTTAAAACAAATTAAAATGGTAACAAATACTTCATAATAGAATCTGCCTCATGCATCAACACTATATTTCAATGCAATTATCATGGCACATTTGACTAGTTTCCTGTACAACACTCAAACCTATACAGTCAGTACCACCAGGAAGCCAAACACCCATCACCATTGTAAGAAATCTGAACTGGGACAATCTTGTTGAATCTACAGATGCTTGTCTTACAGTCTAAGATTCAGCATAGTTTGGCCCCTCCCCCCTTAGTGCTGTTATAAAGGAGAAAACAGCTGATTATAGACAGGTCTATGGTACAGGGGACTATATAATACCTATGAGGAGGACTGCCTTCAGACAGTCAGCTTTTTCAATGAGAGCAGCTCACACATGGACAGTCTGTCAGCACTTATCAGTAACACGTACTGTATCACTTATTTAAAATCAATTAATCTCAATGGTAATCAGGATTAAAAGACAATCAAGTGTGTATCTTTACTCCATAACTTATTCAAATAACCTGAAGCCTGCTTTTTTATATGTTTTGTATTGTTATCTTTGTTTTAAGTAGTTTATGTCTTTTTATGAAATGAGCTTGGCAATATACACAGTATTGCTGTTTCTTTTTTATGTGTCTTTGGGCTGAATATTACACATGCTCAGGGACTAAATAAATAAACACATTTTAAAAATATTTCAAAAACTTGACAATTAGTGACACTTTTCATATTTTCAGATTAGCATAATGTAAGCGAGGATGAATATAACGTCATAGTTTATGGAAAACTGAACCAAAATTCCAGCCACGTGACCCATCGAGTTTATTACGTCACTGGGAAAGATGGCCGCTCCCGTTGGGGTAACGCTGCTTCCGTAACACACTTTACTATCAGGCTTGTGTACAATATTCAGCTTGTATTTAGCGCCACGTCTTAGCGGAGCGTCGTAACAGTTGTGGCAGAGATGAAGACCTTCTGCGGAAGAGCCAACCCGACCACGGGAGCTTTAGACTGGGTGGAGGAGAGTGAGGAGTACGACTACCACCAGGAGATAGCCAGGTAGCTCCGAGCTAGCACCACAGCATGGACACAGGCTGCACACGTTTCCATGTTGTGGCTGGACATTTGTAATAACACTGAAACTCATCACAACTCATTACTGACAGTTCTAAAATGTGCTTCCTGTTATGCCGCCATGTTTACTGGAGGGAAGAAGTGCGCTTATAAATCCATAAAAACTCTCATTTTCCACTGAGTGTTTGTCAGCTTTATTCTGACAGGGTTTAAATGGAGTGCGGTATACTGTGTCCTAAAAGGGTTAGGGTTAACTGCAGCTCTTAGGCAGGATTTAGGTTTTTTATTCGTGACCATTTAGTGAACAGGGCATGTTACAGTTAAAAATAAAGTTGCCAGTGCTCTTTGGTGGACAAACTAAGTATGTCCTATATGTTATACACTAATGCAGAGAATTCAGTATATTTTTTTATTAGTTACACTAATTCAGTAGAATTCAATAGTGTAGATAAGCAATTATACACAGTACGATAACAGTCAATGTTCATACCACAGTATACTATGACACTGAACTACAGTGGTGACAACAATGTGAACCAATCAAAATATAGAGATCATTCATTATTAGGACTATTAGGAAATGTAAGTCTTATTTACCCTTTGTTAAAAAAGAATCAAAGAGTCACCACATTCCTATGGGAGGAAGGCGGGCTGTGGGCTGGTTAATGAATGACATTAATGAAAAAAAGTAATCTGCAAGTTACTCAAACAAATGCATCAGTAACACAAACATTGATCCATGTGAATCTGTTGATCAGTTTAACATGTTTGTCTTTCAGGTCCTGTTATGCAGACATGCTGCATGACCATGACAGGGTGAGTGTTGACATCGACCTCTGCTGAAAGAATTCAGAAACGGTCTGAGAAGACCCACAGTAGTTTCTCTGGTGGAAGTATTTGTCTGATCAAATATTTTAGTCATTATCTATATGTGACTGTTGCATGCTGGGGGGGCTTCTGTATAGGATTGTTGTTTTGTGTGTGTGCTTTTTGACAGGATATCAAAACCAGAATCTTTCCAGGTCAAAACAAAAGGCTGTATGCCTCTGATAATAATGGTTACATAAAAAACACATTGTGAAACCGGCAAGTGTACGTACTGTCGATATGCAATTCATACTCTATACTATCCATTAAAGCAGCTACAAGGAATTTCCATTTTGTCTTGATTCTGGCGGACAAAAGTGGTAATGTTTCCCAACGCCATGTTTCATTGATTCAATGGGGAATCTGACCCAGTGGCAGGCATTAAGAATAACTATATAGAAGTAGTTAGTGTTCTTGCTGATAGGTCATGTAGAGGCATCAGTATTAAATTAAGACTCCTTCATAACCAGTTAAAAACTCCTTGTAGTAAATGTAATGTCCTTTCTAGGAAAGTTGACTGAATTCCAAAGAAGAAAAGCACGCTGATGAGGCACCAAACTGACTTTATTGAATCTTCTTCAGCACTGACACAGCTGATGTACTTTATGCTTCCAGAATGAGAAGTACTACCAGGGAATCCGGGCAGCTGTAGCCAGAGTGAAGGCCCGTGGGGAGAAGGTCATCATCCTGGACATTGGGACAGGAACTGGCCTACTGTCCATGATGGCTGTCACTGCTGGAGCTGACTTCTGCTATGCTGTGGAGGTAGAGATGCACTTCTATATATAATATTATCATTTACATAAGGTATAATGCCCAACGAGGTGTCCATTATCAGGATCTAATGGATAACGGGAAGTCCATTCATTCCTGATAATGGACACCTCAGAGAGCATTATCCTGCTTATACCATGGACACTTGCCAAAGGAAAAAAAACAAGACCATTTATATTTTAATGTGTTTTGCAATCAAAATCTAAAGTTTTTAAAGTAAAGTTTTTACAAGCGATAACTCTG